AGCTGCAACACTTGCAAAATGCTTCCTCATGTTAAAAGGGAAACATAGTGGGTGCATCTACACATGCAGTTAATGCAAAGCAATAAACTCTGGATCAGTTTGAACTGGAGTAAATTACTCTTGGGTGCAGCATCTACATGTGTGCCTGGGACAGCAGCAATTTGAACCAGGGCAGAGCAGGCCTGGTCTGTCAGGGCTATGGGAAAAGGGGTGTCAGGCCCAGGCTCTAGGTAGTGGCATTGGGTGGTGGAGGGGCTGGCTAGGGCACAAGGGTGCTGAAGTGCAGAGCTGTGTGGCTAGGTGGCAGGCAGGAGTCTGGTCCCTGGCTGACTGGGCTGACCAGGTGCAATTTTCACCCATGGTCAGCACCTACATGTGCATTTAATTGCAGTGAATTACACCGGCATATAGATGGTGACACTTTACTCCGCAGCTAATTAGACTACTCCATAGTAAAGTGCATGTGTAGATACAGCCAATGAGACCCAAATAACTTGCTAAACAATCAGAAACAATCCCTAAAAGAATGATAAAACTAACCAGGGGGAAATGGACTTTGGGTAAGAACAAACATTCCCTGTATCCGATCTAGGTTTAGGTAGCTTGCTTTAAGATGTCTAAATCTAGATTAAGAACAATGTTGACAGTACGAGGTAAGTAACTTGAGGTGTGGGAAGGGCTGGCTGATCTGTGGAGGCAGGTGGGGTGAGGGCACTGGCAGATCTACAGTGGGTTTTGCTTGGTTGGGGGGCTATAAAAAGCCCAGTCAGGGTCAGGGGGATACGGATGGCACAGCTTCAGGGCTGGGATGAGTTGCTGGTCTTTCCCAGTCCTTTGTGAATGTGTGCAGGCATTTGGGAGATTGAGTTAACCCAGTGGTGTTGAAGCTTTTTGCTTGGCAGGCTGAATGCAACTGGTTGTCCTGATCTGGCACCCAGGGCAGGCATGGCAGGGCCTTGTCTGGCTTCATGGAGTAGGGTAAGGGGCAGCCCAGCTCCAATCCAGCTGCATAGTAGAGGGAGGTGTGGCTTGGCTTCAACCTGGTCCTTCAGGGTGGGGAAGGGGTCTGTCCAGCCTTAATCTGGCTGAAGAGGGGTGGAGGCGTGACCGACCCTGATCTAACTCCTTGGTGGAAAGAGCATGGTGCAGCTGTAATACAGGTGCGCAAGAGAAGGGGGCTTGGCCTGGCCTAATCCAGTCCTGTCATGGGGAGGTGCGGGAGGGCCACAGATCTTGGGAATTTGGTAGCAGGGAGGGATGGCAGTATTAGCTGCTGCTATTCTTCTACTGTCAAATTTCCCTACCTGTGGGGAGCTCCACAGGCCAATTGTCCAGACTCCGGAGGATGGCTTTAGTCTGTGGGCCAGAGGTAGAGCATATTTGGGTTATCCCCTTCCTAGATCAGGTCAACCCTTTCTTGATCTAAATTAGTTTACCTTGATCTAGTATTCTCAATCTAAGTTATTTTATCTCCTGAAGTGAACTAACTTAGATTGGGCTTCCCGTTTTTGGCTGATTTAAACCCTCTGAATGTCTGCATGAGTGGGCATTTAGATCCACCTAACCGTATTTAAGTCAATCTTAATATAACGCTCATGCATACCCTTTGTAAACAAGTGTGATTCTTCTACTGATATACTTGGTTCTTACAATCCAACCATAACAAGGAATGTGAATTCACAGTTATGTATCAAAAAAGATAATGTGAAAACACATTCAGTAAGGAAAAGAAAAATCAGTAACTTTACAGTTTCCCTTATCTAAAGTGAAAGAAGCAAAAAAATAACATGGAAAACTTTAAATATTTTCCCATATTTATGGCATTTATTTTAAGCAATAAGATGGATGCAGTAGGCTCAATTGAAACCAATAAAGAGGGATACCTTACAGCAAAGACTCTAGCATAAAGCCCAGTATTCAAAACCGGCATTTGTGTTTGAACGCCAGCACTTGTACAATCATTATTATGAAAGTAAATGTCATTCCTCAGCTTTATAGTTAATAAAAATAGCATGTGTGTGAATGACTGCAGTTAACTACATCTTAAACTTTACTAAATAGATACTTCTGCAAATATTTACTACTTCTAAAATTTGATACAAATTATATAGAGGACAATAGATAGCTCCACAGTGCATACAAGACTTAATTTCACTGGAATGGCCCGGCTATGTCATAAACTACAAGTGCACAGTGCAAATAGTTTATGAATGGCAGCAGAGGCCTAGGAATGAGTTCATTTGTTTTCACTCTGGGGCCATCTGTTGTTATTTCTAATAGAGACTTTTTAACTTTAAACTTTTGATCTTTGAAGTCTTGGGGTTTTTAAACTTTTACAGGTGAAACATTAACTTTTTAAACCGCTTATGCTTATAAATTTCAGTGATGTCAGTGAAAGGATATTATCACTTTCAATGACATTAGTGAGAGCTTATTATTAGTTTATTACCCTGAGGTTTATAAAGAAATAAACCAGTAGGTAAATATTGTGGAGAGACTATAGTCTCCCCTTAGCTAAGGCTGAGAGACTAGCTTTCTGTTCCAAACTTGATTATGACCTGGTTCCCCATCATGCAAGTTTGTTAAAACCAAAGCAATCTGCTTAAAATTTCACGCATAGTGTTTTCCTAGAGCTTAATTTGTTTGGAAAGCGTACGTGAAGTTTGGCAGGTTGAAAAATTAGTGGTATTCCACATATTCACATCATTTTATTTATTTATTTTCTGTTGCAATATTACACTTCCAAATAGCTTTCTTTTTTTGAGAAACTCTACATTTACAGTCCTAACCTATGGGGTGCTGAGCTTTTCTCACCATGGCAGGTGGTGCCCAAAAATACAGATGGAGTTTAGTACAGATTAGGAAATTATACTTCAAGGGAAGGTAGGAAGTAGTAGAAAGAAGAGGAGAAGGGATGATTTTATTTATCAAGTAAAAAACTGGGGCATTTTGCAGGGTGAGAAAATACATTATTTTTCACTATCCTTCCTCTTTACTTCACCTCATGCCATGAAGCTAGAATTAGTATTCCTCCTCTTCCTACCTAATCCCTACACAGCTCAGACTTCCTCCATGAACTTTGAATCCTCTTCTACCTGATGTCTTTAGGTTCAGAATACACCTTGCCCCAAGAGATTCTTGTGGCTTTCTAAAACCAGCTTTCAGATTCAGAACCTTTCCCCTTTTCCAGGCACTCACAGGCAGAAAACACAGAAACCTTTTTCTCTTCTAGCTCAGAATCTCCTCCTATTCATTGTTGGAGAAGGAGCTGAAGCAGCATGAAGGACTGCGACCGAACCCTAATTGGCTTCTTTATGACTATTATGCAATAACATCACAGAAGCCTGTATTTCGTGCTCCATGTCCTCTGTAGTTGGTGTGAAACTGGACTGGTGGAATTACAGATGCAGTACAGTCTTCAAAGCTGGAGTGGTACCTTAAGAGTACATCAGCCATATTTTACAATATCTGTAGGGTAGCTACATCTCTAGCATTATGGTGGGGTTTAGTTACACAGCAACCTTAAATGACCATCCATTCCTACCCTCCTTGATTCCCAGTAAAATCAATAGGAGGTAAGAGCACTCAGTGCCTTCTTCAGAAGGTGAGACAAGTAGGGTGTCTACTGTTGTTCCTTATCTGTGGGTTATTTGTTGTTTATTGTAAGCCACTCTGAGACTTTTTAAATCTAAATTTAAATCTAAATAATAGGTTATATAGCCTGGAACTGTATAAAATAGCACATGTTATTAGCAATCAAGGGAAAGATAAAAATATAAAATAGAATATTAGGCAGAGATATTAATTCTAAATCTGAACAAGAAAAGTATAGAAATTGTCTGTACTTTGGGGAAAAGGATTTTGACAAAGAGGGGAAAAAAGAATTTCTATTCAGGTCATGCTTATTCTGTTTTGGGAATGGAATTTTCCATTTTCTTCAATAACTATCTCCAGTTTTCTCCATTTCCTGTCCATTAAGAGTGCATATTTTATGGGGACTTAGCTTGGTGGATCAGTGGCATAAAATCCTTATTAAAATAGGTACAGAATCCCCATTTCTGAAAACATTTATGTCCATGTGGGCCATCTCACTGACTTCCTTTGGTGTACTTACACCAAAGAGAAATATGTGTTTGTAGGACTTAGTCCACAGACACTCAAACTCCATGAGGGGTCCACAGCAGCTTCACTGAGTGGGTAATCCCTCTATCTGACCATTTGGCAGGCTAGCAACATCTTCTAAAACTCATTCTAAAACTCTTGACAACCTTGCATCACGTCTTAGTGTAATTAAATTTTATACCAGGATATCATACTTTTAACTTTGCAGCACAGTGTAGCATTTAATAAATAATACCAATTTTATGCTGCAAATTGGCTGTAATGCAAACAGATAAAAAATCAAGTCTGCTCAGAAGAGACTATTAGCCATGTAATGGAGCCAATAACTGAGTTAGACCTGTTCAGCTAATCACTACATGTTTTTATTATCCTATTACCATATTTACTCAAATATAAGACAATCCCCGCCCCCCACCCCAATCAACATAGAGAAAAAAGCTCCTCAGCTTACATTTATATACAAGGAAATCTGACTAAATACATTGTCTATAATTAAACTGCTGCTAAAAGCAACATGTGGTTAGTAATGGAAACCAATTCTGAAGTTGATTAAATGCAGCCAGTGCTAAACATGACTATAAAATGCATGTCCCATATGGGGCAAATGTATTGATGGGAATCTACCACATTTTTTTTCTTGGCTTAAAGTCAAATTAGTTCCAAATTTCAAATAGATTGAGACAACCTCAATTGTTCAAGTCTGTGTGACACTGCCACCAGGCAAGTCTTCTGCCTTCTAGATCCATCAGTCTGGGACTTTGGATGCTCCCTAAATCCATGGCAGACATCCTATGTGCAGGCCTCAAGCCCAAAAAGCGTTGGAGTTCAGATGTTCCCTAGTCATGCTTGTTCCCACAAGGCTGAAGGAGCAAACCAATAATAAAGTGCAAATGCAGCCCCCCATTACCACAAAATTATGCAATCAAGTGTCCCACATTTAGGAAATTCACAGGGATCAGCCTGCCCAAAGTGCAATGGATGGGTGTTACAGGGCACCCAAAAGAAATTTGGAATACCCCGTTCTAGGGCAGGCTGTCCCCCTCTTGCCTGCCACACCTCGATGTTAATTGATATAGATATTGCAGGAGACTGCCCTGATCTTACTTTAATAACCCCTGACTTGTGGTCATGGCCTTATAGGCCAGTCACATAGCTCTGTATCTTCCCTTCACCATGTCCCATGCCTCACAGGTGGAATCCTTATAGCTGGTCTCTCTTTTGCTGAAGCAGCCTCCCCCTGGGCCTTCTGACCCCTCAGCCTCTCTCAGCCCCACTCTGGGCCTTCAGACTTCTTGGTCTTTCTCCCAGTCCTACTCAGGTTGCCAGACTATGCATTCTCTCCTCTGGCTCATCTCTGGGCCCTCAGACCCTTTGGTTTCTTGTGCAACCATTCCCTGGGCTACCCAGCCTCTCAGTCTCTCTCTTGGCCTCCCTCCGGGCTGTCAGTTCCTCCTTGGTCCCTCTTCCTGGTTCCATTCAGTTCTCTGTTTTCCCAGACACTCTCCAGGCCTTCAGGCCCATCTGGGCCTACACTGTGCTCCGGCCCCTCACTGGGCTGCACTCTAGGGCTCCGGCCTCCGGCCCCTCAACTGAAGCCTCAGGCTCCTCTCCGAGGGCCTTTCCCCATCCAGGCCTCAGGCCTCACACTGGGCCTCTGGACCTGCATAGCCCTAGTCTTCCTTGTCCCATGCTTTTCTGTCAGGGTGTACTCCCCTAGCCTTCCCCCTCCACAGGGTGACCCACAAGGCAGTGGGAGCTGAGGCTTTCTGGCACCTCATCCTCACATTTCCCTCGGGTGGGCCCACATGTGGCATTTTCTAGGGGCTGCCCTGCCACAGGCAGCCTTACCACATCAGCTGACTCTACTAGGGTGCAGTTTTAGGTCTTACCCAGGACTGGTCTTCAGGCCTACCTGCTCTCATATCTCCCTTTCTGGGCTTTCCCTGGATGTGTTACCCCATTCATGAGCTGCTGCCTACCAACCCCTCTGGCCCTGGCTCCATCTCATATCTAACTCTTCCATCTCTGACTCCAACTCACTCTTGGACACCTATCTTTAATCTGTTCTCTGAAGATGGCCCAGCACCAGCCAGTGTCCTGCAGGTTGCACAGCCCTTGACCCCTTACTCTCAGCTGTGGCCCCAATCCAGGGACCCTTGTGCCTCTCCTAGGCTTGGTCTCACTGCCCGTCCAGTTGAGACTCCAGACAGTCCAGCTCTGGCCATCTCTCATGATGGGCTCTCTCACCTGCACCTCTCTAGTCTCATGTAGGCACTTTCTTGCTGCTTTGGAGTGCGCATCTGATGCCAGCTGCAGGGTGTGATCCTGTGGCCTGGATGTTGGGTCACATTCACACCAAAGGAGACCCCAGTACTTGCCTACCATGACTTTTTCTTCAGTGGCTCCTTCTTGTAGCTCCTCATGGATCAGGCGCTGCCCTTAGTGGGCGTTCTTGGGGCTCCCCCTTCCCTACCCCCCAGCCATACCCTGTCTAAGCCCAGCCCTCCTCCAATCAAGCATTTCCCAGGCAGTCAGGTGACTCCCTTGATCAGGTCTAGCCACACCTGCCAGCTCCTGGATCATGTAACTCTACTTAGGTCTGACCCCACCTGCTGGTGGCTCTAGAGACTGCCTGACCTCTTAAACCGGTAGGCATACCAAGTGCCCTGCCACATAGGGCCTCACTCTGGGAAAATCTGTTGATCATGGTATCTCCCCTGCTGCCAGGTGTTATTTCAAAGCCAAAGTAACCTACCATAAGGATAGATTAGTGTAAGCCATCTGAATAACATATATGGTATGCCCGTTACACTCAGTCCCTCTCAGCAGTGTCTTTTTCAAGGCATAGTGAGTCACTACATTGAATACTTTTCAACTTCCTCTTCACTCCCATAGCTGAGCTGCACTTTTCTTTCCCATTTCCAATGAGTTCTGTTTTTTAACCAGCCTTGAATGTTTGGGAAATGTTACCAAACAGGGCCCCAAACAGTTTATGCAAAATCCCTTGTTGCCCCCCTCTCTTACCCTGTCACATATGATTAGTGTGGCCACACCCTCCATGAGGTAGAGCCGGACCAGTTTGCCTTGCACCTCCTCTGCATATACATTTTTGGAGGATCTCAGGACTTGTGACAAGAAAACCTGGTTCTAGTCATGAGTGAGGGCTTAATTAGCAAATGGATTCTTTATGATGGGGTATCTAGAGTATACACACATACTGAGCAGTGCTGAGCTGTGGGGTCACCATGAATTGAAACACTGTTGACTCTGGTGAGGTCCAGCCTAATGGGCTGTATGGTAAATCATGAGCCTTTTGGTTTTGGTGTAGTTTATATTATATACAAGTAGCTATAGGAATGCTGCTTAAAAGTGTGTCCTAAGACTGTGTTAAACCTTGCAGCAATTTCAAAGGAAATAAATTGCATTAATTCTGAATGAATTAAGTCTATAGGTACCTGTGG